CATTATTGGACCTAACCAATTGAGTTATAAGAGTAAGAACACATATTCCTGCTCATCCAGAAATATAATTTATGCTATCGTGCCGAAAGTGTCCGTCTGCTATGTACATTGGACAAATGTCTCAGACACTTCACCAAAGAATCAATGCCCACAAAACAGATATTAGACAGGATCACAAAGAAAAAACAGTTTCTTGCCATTTCAACCAGAAAGGACATTGTCTCAATGACTTGATTACCTGCATCCTGCTTCGAAGACATTTTAACACCAGACTTGAAAGAGAATCCTCTGAACTGTCATTCATGCTTAAATGTGACACTTTGCCACCTAGGTCTTAACAAAGATATTAATTACCTTACCCATTAAAAAGTTAGCTTCCCCAATTATCACCTCTAATATCATTAGCTCACAGACATTTACCTCCCTCCCTCATCCCCCTTCTGTTCTGAAATTTGATTTGCCCTTTTCATATGTGTTCATTTTTTTGATTCTATCCCTTGGAATATATGGTCATGCCAATTTTCTTCCACTATTTGATCAGAGGAAGTGGGTCTGGTCCACGAAAGCTCATCACCTAATAAACCATCTTGTTAGTCTTTAAAGTGCTACATAGTCCTGTTTTTTGTTTCAGCCCTTTCGTGAGGCATAAAATCACCTCTTAGCGTGAGAAAGCAGTAAAGTCAGTCACTGGTCACTGTAAGAGAGCAGGATCAGTTACACTAATGCTGGAGAAGAATGAGCATCTAAGTGGAAGAAGAGTTCCCCCGTCCTGACTCCTGTTCTAGAACTATCACAGAAAACACTAGTAAATGTCTATGTGAGTCTTTGTTTGTTGCTTTAATTCCTGTTGTAATATCTATTCGCACCAATAAATCATTCTGCACTGAAGAGGTTGAGTTTGAGTCTCTGCCCCACCCTCTCTCATTTGGAACATCCCCACTGCCACAATTGCTGTACTTAGAGCCCAGATGAAAACTTGGCTGCTGGATCCCCATTTCTAACCAGTGCTTCCTTGCACAGCTGTTCCCCAAAAGCATACTCATCCCTGCTGCATTGCAACTGATAATTCCAGGTCTCAATTTTCCCCTCCTGCTTTAATTACTATTTTTCCTTCTACTAGATACACATGCTGGGTAACATTTTGTATGCACCTGTGGCTCTATCTCCACTGCAAGATTACCCTGGGATCTTACCTGAAATTTAGCCCAAGACCTCCCATTGTCCTCACCTAAAACCATTATACCTGGTTTGATATGTGCTTTAAATCCAAGATTTTTTGCCTGACTGGAGCTATAGATTAGGTGACAGAAGAGCCTAGACCCTTTTTTCAAAAGCATGTAAGGTGCAATGTTAGTTGCCAAGGGTGTGGGGAGGAGACCTGCTCTGAAGGTGAAATCAAGAGTAAACATCCCATGGGTTCAGAATTTCACCAACAAACATAGTATATGCCAGGCTGTATCAGATCACAGATCTTGTAAGTCTTGGCTCCTTGTTTCTGGCCACTCCCTCCACTCTCAGATGATGGAAAGGGTAGAGGGCTCCTACTCATCTTTCACGGCAGTTCAGGAGTGAAATAAATTCCTTCCTGTTCCCACAGCAATCAGCTTATGACCAGGATGCCATTTAATTACTCTTCTTTAACAGTGCAACTCACTGCCAGTGCCTCGTGCTGGACACTCAGGCTGTGTCTACACTGGCGCGATCTTGTACCAAAGTGGCCGCTTTTGCGCAAAAACTTGCTGCCTGTGTACACTGGCCGTGTGTTCTTGCGCAAGTACACAGACGTTCTACTGTATGAAATCAGGGCTTCTTGCACAAGAACTATGATGCTCCCACTCAGGAATAAGCCCTTTTGCACAACTGTTCTTGTGCAAGAGGCCCATGTAGACAGGCAACATGAATTTCTTGCGCAAGAAAGCCCTATGGTTATAATGACCATCAGAGCTTTCTTGCGCAAGAGAGCGTCTACACTGGCATGGATGCTCTTGCGCAAAAGCACATGCCAGTGTAGACGCTCTCTTCTGGAAGAGTTTTTGCACAAGAACTCTTCCGCAAAAGAGTTCTTGTGCAAGAAGCTGCTGGTGTAGACGTAGCCTCAGGGAATTAGCTCAATTCAGCCCCAGAGCACCCCCTTCTGGCCAGTGTCTCACCTGCTTTACTTGTTTATTCTCTACCTTGTATCAGGATCCAAGTCCCTCCCAGATTATAGAGTCCTTCCCTCAAGATACTGCCCTGCTGCAGTGCTCCCATACTGCCCCTTTAGGGAACTCCCAAACTTCTATACCCACCTCGCCTCCGTGACACTACTTCCAGTCATCATCTAACCCCTTACCTCAGGGGCAAACTGCAGTCTGAAATGGCCACTCATTGGCAAGGAGTGTGAACCTACTGCCACCTTCTATCCTGGCTGCCTCCCTGTGGCCCTAGTATCCTCAGGCCTTGCCTCAAGCCCTGCAGCCCGGGAGTGAGGTCAGGCCAGAGCTCCCCAGTTCTGACTGTCTTTTCCCAGCATTGCTATGTCTCCAGAAACCTCCAGCTTCCCTGCTAACCAGACCCTTCCTGTCCACAACTAGAACAAGAACATGCTCAGACTGGCCAGCCTCCTCTTTTATACAGCCCTCCTGGGCTATGATTGGCCGCCGCAAAGCCTCTGATAATTGGCCCCACCCATTTGATGCCTGGAACAGGGTGACCACCCTGCTACACCTTGCACAGCTACAGAAAGTTTTAGTGGTCATGAAATTATGCCTGCGTCTGTCAAGTCCAGCCATAGCATCTAAGTCAATGACCCTCTGCAGCCTTAATGCACAGACCCAGAACCCAAATGCCAGTCTTTGCAACTGACACGTATGTCCCCATATGTAAAACAGAAACACACCACTTACTCGCCCAGGAGAATGGAAAGGCCAGTTTATCTAAATTATGTAAACCAAATGCTGAGAGGTTTAATGCCTCAGCAGTTATTTTTAACAAGTAAAATATAAATGGCAACACAACTTTAAAATCTGCCTTTGAGTTATCTGCCTCCGTATAATAAGCAATAGCGCTATTTTAAGAGCTGACCCTAAGAAGGAGCTGAGTTTCTGCTGCACCTATTGAACACAGGAGAGTTATAGGTACTCGGTACCTCTCAGGATTAGGCCCTGCAAGCCTCCGCCTCCTAAATCTTTGGTGCGCTCTTATTATTGTACATGGGAGAGACTTGGATCTTCGTGGAGGACTTGGATGTGATTTAATTTGTATTTAACTTCTACTCACTAAGAAGAGGGGGATAATCATCTTTACTGCCAGGCTGCATCTACACTGCAGGCTTTTTGCCCAAGAACAGCTGTTCTTGCGCAAAAACTTGCCTGCTGTCTACACTGCACGTGCATTCTTGCACAAGTAAATTTACAGTACAGCGTCGGAAAACAGGGCTTCTTCTGGAAGAGTTATTCCTCTCCCCATGAGGAATAAGCCCTCTTGCGCAAGAGCTCTTCCACAAGAGGGCAGTGTAGACAGGCAACATGAATTTCTTGCGCAAGAAGCCTCTATGGTTAAAATGGCCATCAGAGCTATCTGGCGCAAGGGAGTGTCCACACTGCTATGGACGCTCTTGCGCAAAAGCACATTTCTTGCACAAAAGCACATGGCAGTGTAGACGCTCTCTTGTGGAAGACCTTTTGCACAAGAACTCTTCAACAAAACCGTTCTTGTGATTTAGATCGTTAACTTTAAAGGGACTATTTCTGGTAGTAAATACTGCACCTGGCAGTGAGTAAAGTAGTAAGCCGCTACTGGGACAAGCTTTCTGTTTCTTGAATTGGACAGTTGTAGTCTCTAGTCGGATTGCAAGGGAAAAAATGTGTAGACAGTCACCATCAGATACTAGAACTCAACTCTGTTGTTACAGAGGCTCTGATTTTGAGAGGTACCAAGAACCCACTGCTACTACTTGCAATGGCATATAAGTCAGACCCTGTAGCGTGCTCAAACTTGAACACGGCTTGAAATTTCCTTATCTAGAAACACATGGAATGGATGTGGTTTTTCTCCTTAAAGTCTGGCTCCTGGTCCTGCGGTGTACACTAGAGCTGGAAGGTCAGGTTAAGTTACGCAGCTCCAGCTATGTAACACACAAAGGCAATGATCAAACTCCTGTTGACTTCAGTGAATGCAGTCAAGCCTCAACCCAGAGACCTACGGTTTGCTGCTTTTGCCCCGCATACATTTACATTTAGAGTCTCTAGATTGAGTTTCTCTTAAGGCAGAAACCCTTCCTACACAGTCCGTGTCTTGGCTGATACAGACATTCACGGCGATTCCTCCCTTGTGGTTCTCCCCTTTGGGTTAGTCCCAGCTCTCATTACCAGCCCCTCACTCATTTTCTTGCAGGGCTTTTTCTGATCAAGCCAGCATCTTTCTTTCATTTGATCTTGTCGGCACGGTTCCCATGCCAACCATTTAGCCGGAGAGGGGCAGGCAGTCTTTAGTTCACCTGCCCCCTATGTCGTATACGATCAAATCTCCCCATTCTCACAACCTTTTCACACACGCCCCTGCCCCTTTCAGTTCTGGTGCTGCTGCATGCCCAGCTGGCTTGCTGCAGTCCACTCCGCGTGCTAGCGCCTGAGCACCTGCAGGGGGCGCCAGAGAGCTGTCTTGAGGCTGCTGGGGAAGGGAGACTGGTCCCGGGCTGTGCGGAGTCTCTGCATTCTGCGGCAGAGGGACTGGGGGGACCACGGGCGACCCACGATGGCTGAGGCTCGGCGCCTCCTCTGATCCCCCAGCGAGGCGAGCTGGCAGGCCGCTGAGAGGAGGACTGAATCCCCGTCCTCCCAAGTCACAGTCCCTCGTGCTGCTTCCCTGGCGCGGAGAGGTGAGTTTGATGCAGGAGAGGCATCTGGCTGAATGGGGCTAGCGGGCACAGCGCCAGGGGCTACTGCTGCAGCGAGAGAGGCACCCGGGCAAGCTTGAGTCGCTGCCCAACGGGGCGGGGGAGGATTCCTTCAGCTGTTTGATTAGGGAAGCCAGAGGTTACCTGTTGCACTGTATGTGGCAGCCGTGGGCGTGGAGCCGCGATCTGCAGTGATTGCAGGGCAAGTCTTGATATGATCATCCCATATGGAAAGCCACACACTTGCAAGCATGAGGGGCTGGCGGTCAGAAGACTAGAGAGAATCAAAGTATCCCGTTAGATCACCCTGCAGTTCTATGCCTCTCAGCTCTTTTGCTGTGTCTACGCGGAGGGGGGATCTACAGAAAACAGTAAGATACATTCATGTGTAAATTAGTATTTGTTTATTAACATGGGGATGGCAGTTTGCTGGTTGACTCTTAAATCAATGTTTTTTGTGGTTGACTCTTAAATCAATGTTTTATTTATTTATTTTTGTAATGCATGGGCCTGATTGAGAAAGGAATTGTTGATCATAGTTTTTTTTTTTTAAAGGCGTGTATGGTGACGACCCAGCATTCATAGGTTTTCAATGACATTTGAGTATGAAAATAAACACTGAATTGCTTTGGGAGCCAAAGTACACAGTAGTATGTTAATCTTTACTCAGTGTGTTGTAAAGCAGCACATTGTCTTGTGTTCTCTCTTTTGCTCACATACAGAAATACGGGGTTCAGATTTTGAACTCAGGTGTTGTAGTGTAAATCAGGAACAAATCAAACTGATGGAGTTACTGCAGCTGCAGACCAGATTGGAATCTAGCCCTAGTGCATTAGAGGCAGGTAGCATGTAAATATAGAACAGGAACACTTAAAACCCTCTCATTTACAGTGTGCATTTAGTCATTCAAAAATAAGAGTCCATCTCTTTTAAAATGCAAGAGTCAGATTCTCAGTGTAAACTGACATAGCTCTTTCTAGGACTCCAAAGCTACTTCAGTTCACATGGCATGAAAAATCTGCCCAAGGTGCAAGAAGGTTCTTAGGGTTGTCTTAGAAACCCCAAACCAAGCCATTAAAACTAGGGATTACATAGTACAGATTGATGTAAGTGTTCTCTTCTGCTGGCATCCTGTAGCATTTTTTATTTCCTATCTAAAGCTGAAAGTGAAAGGAATGTATTGGCAGCATCACATTTATGTCTTTCTTCCATGAGCAGAACTAGAGGAAGAAAAACAAGTCTTACTACAAATGATTTTACATGACTCACTGTTGACAAAGCATGACTTTATTAGGTTAGAAATTGGAAGGAAAATGTATGTATTCTTTGGAGAGAAATTCCTGTCTCTCTGCTGGTAGATGAAACAATTCATAAAACATTTTGCCTTTCTAAATGCTTATACAAGATGAATATGATTTACTGTTTACTCCGCTGCAAAACAAACAAGATGTATGAAATTTAAAAAATATATTCAAATCCTTCTCTAAATAAAGCACATTTGACAAGATTTGTGTAACTTATTGCATAGTGGAGAAAATTTAATAAACGATTATTTTATTTGAAGAAGTTTCTTGACATATGTGATCGCATTAATATGGGTAATGTTAATGTAACAATTAATATATCCAATATTTATTATTAAAATAAACTTATATCCTTCTATGGAAATATTAGAATATTGGCAATCCTTATATTGAAAATAATATAAGGCAAAGACTGGTATTTGTCTAACAAAGAAAGACTGTTTTTTTTTAAAACATGCTGTATACAGAATCAAAACTATACTGTGGTATATATGAATGGAATGAATCACCCACACTAAATGGTAGGATTGGTACAATACTGATCATCTATAGTTCCTCATCTATGGATCTCAAAGCACTTTGCAGAGGAGGGTAAATCAAGTTATCCTTGGTGAGGAAATTGAGACACAGACAGGTGACATGATATACACTCAAGATCATACAGAAGGACAGTAGAGATAGTAGAAACATTCTTGTGTGGTCCTCAAAAATATCTAGAGAAACTTCAGTATCCCTTTCTAGACTTTCCTGAACCTTTTTGTCAGAGCTGAGTCAGCGTACACAGAGAACATCAGGGGACTTTATGTAAAGACTTTGCTTAGTGGAATGGGCAAGATACAAATATTTAAAATGGGTGAAGACTTATGTAACTGCTGCTGAGTATTTGGGGCTTTGAAGTAATTGAGAGTTTGGGAAGGGAAAAGGGAGTTCAACTATCTGCCAACAGATTAATGAATACTTATGGCTTTTAAATAGATTCTGTAAAATCAAAGCCATTAACGTTAGCTTGACCAAAAGAAGTAACTTCATATAAGCTAGCTTGACCAAAATAAGTAACTTCATATAAGCTATCCCAGCTGGCTTTAAAAAAGTAAGAGGGAATGTTATAAGGCATTACAACCTGAGCACTGAAGATTACTGAATAAGAACTTTTGTTCAATAGAGTTTCACGGGGTATGTTTCAACAGCTGAGCTAGGAGACTAATGTGATATATATTCTACGTGGTTGGTGACAAACATCAAAGGTGTCAATAGGGTTACTTTCAGTATTCAAGGGCATGAGTGTATGCTTTAAATAAAGAAGCCTTTAGGAAGAGTCTGATTTCTGCCCACTCACTGAATGTTTTACAACACTTCCAGGTTCTGTACAGAACTCACAATGACGTGGTGAAGCTGAAGACAGGACCTGGGAACCATCTGTCTGCTCAAGTTTGGGCAATCCAGTGAATCCTCCGTCATTCCGTTTTCCTACCATGGCTAAAAGTGCGGAAGTGAAGCTGGCGATCTTTGGTCGAGCTGGCGTAGGGAAGTCAGGTATATTTGTTGTCTGTTTTTCTTCTGCCTTTGATTAAGTGGCTTTTTTCTTCATTCCATCCAGTGTTCTCAATACAAGCCTTCTGTGTGCACAAAAAACATCTGGGCCTTACTCTGATTTTATGTATAACAGAGAAGAGCATCAAAGAAGCCAATAAAGTGAGATGGGCATAAAGCTGGTGTCAGAGAGACCAGCATCAGGACCTTGGTTTTTAATTTAGCTTTCCACACTATTTTTCATGCTCTAGACTCTGCAAAACTAAAAGGAATCCTTTAACAATGGAAGTAGCATCAGGCCTAGTGTTTGAGGTCAATGCCAAGACTTCCATTGATTTCTATAGGGATAGAGATGGACTATCATTGTTTAATTTGTCCCTATATAGCTCACTCGGTTAATGGATTTTTTATTATGATTTTTTAATTCTCCATACAAAAGGAGATCAGAACCCAGGTAGAGTAATGCACTTGTCCTGAGCGGTTCCTATTGATTCCAGTGGGGAGTTCTGGTGCTCAGCAACTTACAGGATCAGATCTTGGAAGCAATGTGGAGTTAACAACCAGTTGTGCAATATCACAGTAGCTTTCACAGGATTCCAAAGAGATGTAGAAGGGACCAAATTGGGTCAGGGTGACTTTTTGGATGACCCAGCTTTGCCCTGTTCTGAGGCAGATAAAGCAACAACTGACTTTATTCACAACATGGCTATTTTGGCCGCCTGCAGGTTGGAGAGGAAACAGCTGGTGTCTGTTTCTCTTAGAATAGCCCTTCTCCTGGCTTCCACTTGAAAAGTGAATGAGCAGTTAGACAGGTAAGGCTCATAGGAGTCATAGACCTCCTATCAACTTCAGTGTCTAGTGAATGACTGAGCCCTTTAGAGAAGTGCTTGTGAAATTCACCTGCTAACTTCATTGGTGTGCCCAATGAAACAATATCTGGCAAGATGAGACAAGCTCAGTAAAAAACAAATATTTAGATAGCTCCCTTCCCTACTGATCTATTCATTTCAGGCACAGCTTACAGGGAACACTGGTTACAGTGTGTGCTTTTAAGCACCTAGGGGTAGATGCTTGGCTCTGGAAAATTAGTGCAGTGCCATGGAAGTCTGTTTCAGGTTACAACATCTGACGATCAGGCCCATAAACATAATTACTATTTAGTTCATTTGGACTCAAGTGTATGTATTCAGAAGATACTGTACCAGGAAAATATCAGTGAAATAGCTCACTTCCTACAAGGGAAGAGTATACATGGAGTGAGAACATTTCAGCGATCAAATCACAAAGGCAACACTAACTGAATTACAAGTACTTACATAACATATTTGAAAGGGTGCTATTTAAGATAAAAACAATATAAAGATGTAAATGGTCTTATCTGTGGTTCAGTGCCTCATACTGTAAAGTGCTGTAATAAATCTGCCTCTTCTTTCTGTCATTTATCCAATGCAAGTTTTGCTAGTCTGTTTGGACAGTGAAATAAGGCTAATTTGTTTCCCTTTTTGTTTGTAGTCAGACTATTTATGGTTAGGGTTGCCTACACATGGCTTTGGTGGGATTCAGAATAATGCAGGGGAATCTCCCTCCTCAGTGTCTCCTCTCTCAAAGTTTTTTCAGCAAAATTAATTCCTCTCTCCACACACAATTTTTCATCCCTTTTAGGCCTTTTAAAAAAAACTTTTGTAAACATTTAAATGTTCAATCAAAAGTAATCGGCAGTATCCTTCATAACAACATGCAGCATGTGGGTAGCACAGTTTTCACCTTTGGTTTTCTCTTTGTGACCTTCACTACACTAAGGTTTTCTGGCAAATTATTCCCCACTGTGCTAATTTCAGGATAGCTTCACTGATGGGAGTAATACATGGATCAGCTATGAGCAGGATGAGACACAAAATAGCGCCCAGTGAGCAACCTGTATTGGGGAGAGATGCCCAGTGTTAGGATGTAATAGATGCAGCCTGCAAGTGGCTTTTTTTGTTTGAGAGATGTAGATTCTTCAGTGTGTCCATATAATTTTCCATCAAGCTTTGTGTCCAGTTAATATGTGGCATGGGAGATGCTGGTTCCTCTGACTTTACAGTACCAGACTTCACTAAGACAGGCAGCTGGAAGGTAAGCCAAGTTCTAAAAGCTAGAACATGACTGAAGACACAGGAGTGGACTAGATGCATATGAAGACAGACATATATGTGGCAATAAATAAGATCATTATGATTGCCAGGGAAACATTCCAAAATAATGTCACTGGCTTTCTCTCTTTTTCGGGCTTATCCTCGTTTAACAAGACAGAGCCAGACATTAAGTTCCAGTATGGTTTAAGCCTTCATTGGCTTCTCTCTACCTCAAAGAAGAACATCTGTGAAGTTACAGAAGCACACTGTAATGTCCTGGAATGATTCCCCTTCCAATTCTTGATCAGGGGTTGGGAATGACTGAAGGTATGGTAGCCATAAAGAATTTTTTGCAGAAGGAATAGTCTGTTGGGACAGGGCACTTGGGGAATTGTAAAATTCCATCATGCCACAGTGAAGCCAATGGCAGCATTACCACTGATGCTACTGGCAGTATGGGCAGACAATCAGACATGCTACATTGGGTGCAATAAACTGGTTAGCCCTTCTCTGTTGCTGGGCTTTTGCCTGCATTCTCTTTTTTGCTCCTGAAGCTTGCTCTTTTGTTGTTTTGTTTTTCTTAAGGGGGATGTTGACTTTAAGTTTAAAGAATGTTAACTGGATCTAGCCCTGCTCCTCACAGTCCCTGTCTAAAGTCCCTCAGAAATCTCCTGATAGCCACTCCTGGTGCTGAGGAGAGGGCTTTTTAAAGTCCTGGTCTTCCTGAGTAATGCATGCTAAAGGGCTTGGGGATCAAAGCCTCATTAAGAAGCTCAGCTATATTCAGCATACATATGGTCAGCACACGGTTCCCCAAACAAACAGACTGTATGATATATTTCAGTCAAGTGGCAAGAACATCACAAATGCATACATTGCAGACAACACACTTACCCCAAGGGTCTTGTAACGCTACTCCTTCACCTGGAGAATTCCCTCACAAAACTCCCCTGTTAGCTGCTCCTGTTTGCTAGCTCCTTTGGTCAGTTCGGAGCATGTTTTAAAGGACACAAAAGTCTGATACCCAGTGGTTGCAAAAAGGTCTGCAATACATGGATGGGTGGAAGGAGGAAAAGAAAGGATGGAGAGGAATGATCTGTATAAAAGGGGATGAGCATGATCATGGGGAAGGGGGGAGATGGATGGAAGCATTTAAATGGTTGAGAAGCATTTTCTAGCTCCTAATATACTAAGCTTTAAATATAATGTTCAAAATATAGTACTTGTGCTTAGGACACTTATTTTTATTCTGACCTTGGAATGATTAGTGTCCAACTAAAGTATGTGCTAGCTAGCAATCTAGCTCCCAAAAGTCTCCTTAGCTTTTCTTCTAAATGGCCCCATCACATTGTGGTGGGTTGCAGGGTTTTGCATGGGGAAATAGAGCACTTGCAATCCCTAGGATGAAGAGTTGTTTCTGCTGACAAGTGGTTCCCATCGGTTTCAAGTCAGGAGGGAAGAACCTGCTTGAAAGAAAGGTAGCTAAGTACATAGAATCATAGAGCTGGAAGAGACCTCGAAAGGTCATCAAGTCCAGTCCCCTGCCCTCTCGGCAGGACCAGGCACACACAGAAGAAAAGAAACACACCCTGCAAAGAAAAAGCTAGGCATAACCATGCTCGGGAGAAAAGCTTAGACGAGCGGTTCTCAAACTTTTGGGGCTCTGGAGCCCTTTACATGTGTAAAAATGTATGCGGAGCCCCAGCAGTCCACTGATTGTATGTGTTGTACTTATGTGGAACTCCAGCGGTCCACTGATTGTGTGTGTTGTACCTATTGATGTTTCCAGTTTGTCAACCTCGTGGAGCCCCTGGAGATGTCTTGCGGAGCCCTGAGGCGCCGCGGAGCACAGTTTGAGAAACACTGGCTTATACCAAGGTTGTGGTATTTTGTTGTGGCTATTTAAGTGAACAGCAATGGCAAACCCCAGGCAAATTCCTGATTCATCAAGGGCTTTGCACACTGTGACTGAAAGAGCATAAAGTTAAGCACATGCGTAAGTTTGGACCCTATCCAGCATCTGCTTATGCTGTGTCAGAACTAAGTGCATTGGGCCTTATGCTACATTGACCCCACTGACTGCAGCATGCAGACCCAAGACAGTATATATGGCCGTTGTTCAGGGATCACTTTGTTCTTATAGGTGCTTGCTTCTGTTGTATTTTGTGTCCATTTTCAACTGTTTGTATATTACAGGAGCTGTTTGTATATTACCTGGAAACCTCAGGTCTTAAACACATAGACCCCACTACCACAACCATCATTACTGAAGCAAAACTGTTTGGGGGGGTGAAATGTATGAATCTGGATTCTTTTTTTCTGTGAGATGTGGTGGGTGGGAGGAATAAGGAGATCACTTTTGGCTGTGTGATTAGTGCATGTTTTATGTTTGATCTAAAGGGAGATACTTTTCCATATGCCAAAACCCCAAGTGAACAAAAATAATCTCATCACTAGAATCAGTCAAAAACAAGGGGGCAGGAAGGGAATCCACTAAATTTGTTTATTCGTGTGGGAGAAGGTCATGAAATTTTGCAAGCATTTAAACACACCATCTGGTAGAATGATCACACTCTAAGAACAGAAAAGGCTTATCTCAATTCCCTTTTTGTGCTCAGAGTGTAATTAACTACAGACAACACAGAGCAGTACAATTGCTTTTTGCACAGCACTTTTCATCCAAGTCTGTATGAAACAATGTCTGTTTTTCACCTGCTGCGGCAAACTTTCCAAATTCTCCCATTTATATTTTTGAAGTTACAAATTTTAAAACATTTCTGCCAGTTCTGACTTATGCTGCAAAGTCCAATCTTCAAGACTGGATGGAAACAAGTTACTGAACCCAATCCTATAGTAACTGGGTGAAGTTTTGTTGGACTATCTGATCAA